GTGTGTGTGTGTGTGTGTGTGTGTGTGTGTGTGTGTGTGTGTGTGATGTAACTCTCCGGGTCATAAATAACTGAGTCGTTGCACAAACAGGAAGTTTCCGTCTGGTCACGACCGTCTGCAACTCCACAGGAACCGACAGCAAGAACCCGCATTCAACGTTCTCACAACCGAATGTTGCACCGGGAACGTTCTTTCTCTGTTATCATGGAACATTGTGGGAACAGTTTAATTGATTCCCTCAAAAGCATCCTCAGAACATCGCAGCCAGAAGGTTCCATCGTTGTTGATGTGTTGCAGTCAAGGAACGTCTTCATCTGAGGCCTGAATAACCTCTGGAAAACGTACATAGAACGTAGTTCCTCCTCCTGTTGTCCTTGTGGAAACATTTTATAGAAGAACGTTCTGTCATGTGTTTCCTCCTAAACATCAACACATCTGCTCCACCTTCGTTAACATGGCGGTAAAAAAACATCGAACACCGTTTTCTCAGGAGGTATTTTTCTAAAGCTGACGTGAACTCATCACCGGACGTCGTCATCCACACATGCAGCGAAACCAAAGATGTCCATAAATTAAGTGTCATGATATGAAATGAACACATGAAGACAAGAAGCATGGATGCCAAGACATCAGCTGAAATCAACCAGTAGGTAGGAGGCAACGCTGCCCCTCGTCAGGGCAGCTTCACACCGGCTGGTTCAGTCCCAGCCAACAGCCTATAAGAAGGTGTCTCACAAGAAACATGTCATGATGGGTCAAAGCAACGAGGTACTGATGGCATTGGTTAAACTTCTAAACTTCTGAATGTTCCAGTGATCTGTTGGGGTCGTGATCCCGAAGAGAAAGAACATCACTTCACCATAAACCAGGTGCTCCACACAGAAGAGTGGAAAGAATTCTCAGAAGAGTTGTCCGAGAGCCAAGGATAATAATCAGTACTGCACTCGATGGCACGCTCATCACGCAAGACTCCAGAGCTGAAGAAAGAGCATGTCGAAGCTCGTTTAAAGTTTGGATGCCACATCAGCCCAGAAACACCAGCCGTGGAGTCTGGAGGCGGCAGCGTCGTGGTGTGGGGCTGTTGGTCAGCACGCTTCAAACGACTGAAGGAAGGAAAAAGGTACCGAGATGTTGTTGATAAAAACCTGCTGCCGTCTCCCAGGATGAGGAAACGAGGGTTTCAGCGAGACAGTGACCCCAAACACAGCCGAGGGAACGCTCAGCTGGTTCCAGAGAAAGAACAAAAAGCTTCAAAGTGACTTAAAACAACTATAAAGACACACAAATGAACACAGAAGGACACAAACATACGCAAAAAACAGCAACAGTCACAAAACGACAGAATAAATGTTCACAAGGAGACAGTAAATGACCAAAAAAGATGCAGAACAACCACAAAAACACACAAAATTGTGACTCCTCAGTGCTGGTTCTGGTTTGTTGGTCTTTGCTGAGCTGCTGTCACACTCTGGCCTCTCTGGTTCTGTTGGGTCTGTACTGGGTGTTTGTCGCCCTCTGCTGGACGGTGACTCCACTGCACGCTAAAGGTAAAGAACCTGGAAGTTGTTCAGCAAACTGGAGCGTTAAAGTCTCTCCTGTGCAGCGTTAACAGACAGACTCTTTATTCCAGGACTAGTGGAGGACGCCAGGAGGACTCGTGGCTCCGAGTCTCTTCAGGATGATGGAGTTTCCAGAACATGTGTCTTCTCTGGAAGCGTGTCAGAAACCTCAGGAATCCGCGACTGTGGAAAAATCCACACCACATGTGCTGCAACAGGCCCGACCGACAGAGTTTAAAATCAACTCCTCTTCCTGCTGGAGAGAAAGTTTGTGTTGGAGGCAGATTAGATCTCGTTTGTTGTCAGATAGAAGCAGATGTTTCTCCTAAAGTTAATGACAAGTTTACAGGAGCGAACAAAACCTGAAGATCAGCGCTGAGTCTGTTTGTTTGGTCGTTTTTCTCGGCTCTCGGTCGTCTGAACTTCTAATTTCACGTATTTCCATCATATTTCTGAGAGCTGTGTTTGTACAGAGCAGCTCTTGGTTTGGGTCAGTGAGCAGCTGTACAGGCACCAGGTGGCGCTGCAGAGACGAGTTAATCACATCAACGCCATAAAACTTCTAAACTCAGACAAACGGAGGTTGTTGTATCTGGACCTCAACACCTCCAGTTCTACTGTGAAGAACCTTGGAGTTATTTCTGACCAGGACGTTCAACAGATGTATAAAACCAGTCTGTAGGACGGCCTTCTTCATCTATTGTAAAAATCGGGACCATCCTGTCTCAGACGAAGATATTTTTCTACGATGTTTCCTGTCATCCACACGAAAGCGCAGATTTATGGTGTTAAAAACAATTCTTTCAAAAACCTCCGACCAAAGTGAAGATCTGTGAATCCTACATTTATGCGTCTGCATGTCAATAACCGGGTTTTAGGTTTTGAAACGTCACCACCTGCGACAAAACGTGTTCTTACGTCACATACGTGACCTGTGTTTACATTTGGAAACAGCGTGGACGCCCTCAGAACTGTGTCGTCTCTGGTCCAGGCCCAGATACCGCTCCACGTACAAGATCACAGGCAAAGGATGACGCTGAGGACGGTTATGCTACGACGTCAAGAGACTCTGATTGGATAATATTCAGGGATCTACTGCCACCTAAAGGTTCAGCAGCTTATGAATGTGCTTAACAACACACTTGTGCGGTTAGGTGTGGATGTTTTCTCTAAAAACGAGGTGGTGTGTCGGGGGCAGGACATTCGTGGACAAGGCCTGCGTTATGCACCTGCCTGCTACAGGTTTAGGCTCCCATGATGCACTGGGCTCCTCTCGTCAGTTGTATATCACTGTTACGTGATGCTAACTCTGTGCTTGTTCTGGCTTCGGTTCTCATCTACCTCCAAAGCGTCCATCGTTCTGTTTGTGTTGTTCGTTCTCCGTCTGCTCTGTATGGTGGCCGGGAAGTGCAAAACAAACAATCAAGTGGTGAAACACTTTTACAAGTAAAGTCAACTGGAAAGGGAATGCACCAACTCTGGGACTGAACCAGAAGTGGTAACAGGGAGCGGCCAAAAAGAGTTGTTGTTGTCAGGGTGACCCAAGATGGACAACGACGGAGTGATGTTTTGCCCGTTTTGTGGCACACATGAGCAGGTTTTGGTTTTCGTGTGGTTGGTCTTTAGGGGAATGGACCAGAAAGTAGCTCTGAGCCTGGTTCTGCTTCTGTTGGAGGATTTCTTTGTCCGTCTTTTTAAAGGAAAGTTTTTTGGTTCCTTCAAACTGTAACCAAGTGCTGCTAGAAAATAATCTAAAGAAATGTTGGTTTGTTAGGTTCTCTGTTTAAGATCGATAAGGTCTTCACCGTACTGTGTGAAGTGCTAAGAGATGACATGTTGTTAATCTGTATAACTAAAACTGAACTGAATGGAAATAAACAACCAGAGGGCTGCAGGTGGCTCGGTGGTCAGCATCGTTGCCTCGCAGCTAGAAGGTCGCCGGTTCGCATCCTGGTGTATCTTTCTGCATGGAGTCTCCATGTTCTCCCCGTGCAGCGTGGGTTCTCTCCGGGTTCTCCGGCTTCCTCCCACAGTCCAGAAACATGCTGAGGTTAATTGGTGATTGTAAATTGTCCGTAGGTGTGAATGTGAGTGTGCTTGGTTGTCTGTCTCTAAGTGTAGCCCTGTGATAGACTGGTTACCTGTCCAGGTGAACCTGCCTTCACCCTGAGCTGGGATAGGCTCCAGCCCCCCATGACCCTGGTGAGGATTAAGCGGTGTATAGATGATGGATGGATAAAGAACCAGAGAGACGTGTTTGGCTTCATCGTCACGTTTATTTCTTTTCTTTTTTTTTGACACCGATGACAATATTTGATTTCTTAGAAAACAATCCGGAGCATCGTCAGCGTGTTTCCCGTCAGATTAACATGATTTCAACATGAAAAGTAAAAATCAAACCAGAATCAAACATCTTCGCCCACTCCTGCCAAACACCTGAATCCCTCCTAGGACCTGCTAAGAGACAGAAGTGAGGACGAGTTACATCCGCAGGTCTTTGGGGTTCACCACCCGGCCGATGAACAGCAGCGCCCCCGACGCCTCATCCCGGATCAGGTAGAGGAAGGGTCGGTCCACTCGGTACGTCAGGTGGCTGGGCGTCGTGGTGGTCGCCGGGTACTGGTTTCCCTCGGGCACCGTCTCCATGACGACCTTGTGATTGACGCTGCTGAGCTTGGCGGGCTGAGCCGAGATCTTCTCCATGTCTGGGTTGTTGAGCCAATCAGAGAGGCCTGCAGGGAGGGAGGACGGAACAAAGTTCAAACAACCTGAAAGTCAGATGTATGGAGGCTCACCAACGACTCAAAGCTCACGTGGATCGATGGTCATTAACAACCCAACACTCACCTAAGTCAAGACACGAAACTCACACAAATCAGAGTTTGTCAACGACCCAAAACTACGACTTAAGGAGGCTTGTCAATGACCTCCATGATGAATTGAATCTTGTCAAAAACCACAACCTTGTACAAACTGAGACTTGTCAACAACCTAAAACTCCCTGGAATCCACGCTGGTCAACAACCAAAAACTTGTCCTGATTGAGATCCGCCAGTGACTAAAACTTCATCAGTCAATGTTCATAAATTGAGGATCAGCAGCAACTCAAAACTTGCTCGTCAGTGAAACGAAACTTATTTAAATTGAAGCTTGTCAGAAACCCAAAACTCACACCAGTCAAGGTTCGATTAGGGGCACAAATTTTGGACAAATCAAGACTGATCAACAACCCAAAACCCCGTGAATCGAGGCCCATTAACGACCCGGAGCCATCGTGAACCAAGCATCAGGTACGATCGGTTACAGGTAGCGACACTCTGGGAAGCTCTGATTCTCACGGATGGATGGATGGATGGATGGATGGATGGATGGATGGATGGATGGATGGATAGATGGATGGATAGATGGATGGATGGATGGATGGATGGATGGATGGATGGATGGATGGATGGATGGATAGATGGATTTAGCTTAAAATGTGAAGATTTCCTGCTTTTCTATGTTCAACATATTGGTCAAATGACAGTCGTTTGGTTGTGCTGTTGGTTTCAGTTAACTTGATCAGTGCCTGCGTCTTTATTTCACAAAGCTCCTCTGATCACTCGACACAACTCAGTACAAATAAGGATGTTTGAACAGATTCTGTCATTTCCTGAAATGCTTGCTGACTATTCTCTGCAGTGGTTTAATCTGAACTTGGTGCTTCAGTGAGTATTTGGGGCAGCGGGATGAAGACTTATTGAGTTTCCCATCGAAGTCTTGGCCAGCTGACGCAACGGCCCACAGGCATCTGACAAAGTTCAAACCTGGACGTTAGCCTGTAAGAACACAACTGTGCAGAACCGACTCTTCCGTCTGAGCCTTTATTTGCTGGAACCCGGTGTGTCGGACTCACCGAGGTCGCCGAGCAGCGGCAGCAGGTCGGTGGAGTAGCTGAGCCTCAGGGAGGGCAGCGTCAGCGACACCTGGGCGGGAAGCAGCGTCATGGACAGATCCTGGACGAACTCGGCGGTCAGACTCTCCTCCAGCAGCGTCATGTTGGCCGTCACGTCGTCCGGCAGGAACACGAACATGCTGACGTCGTCCTGCATCTGTATCTGAGCGATCTGGACGAGGAGGAGACCCGTCAGAGAGTGTCCCAGGAAACGGGGAAGTTTGAACGTTCGAAAACACTCACCGTGCAGCTCAGGTCGGAGTCGGCGCCCATCTTCACGGGGTAGTTGTCCTGCTGCATCACGGGAACTCGGACCGGTGCCGCTCCGTCCACCTGGAAGCTCTCCAGCCCGCCGCTCTGGCTGAAGCGAGTCACCCACTTCCCTGTTGGACGGCAGAAACGGAGGCATCACTGGTGTTCCTGTTCCTCCGTCTGTACTGAAAGCCTGCTTCCGCCTCAGTTTACAAACCTCTATTTAATGCTTCACAACTGCAAGCATCACAGAACCAGCGCTGACGGCTTGAACAGAAGAGCACACGAGTACCATTAAATGTACAAACACAAGTTACTGAATGTATTCATCGCCGCTAAAGCAAACAATATGGGAGTAGGTACCACTGAACACAGCAAAACTCAACCTGCTGAGACAGAACTCAGATTCTGGTTCCCACATTTCTGCACCAAACTTCAGACTGATTGGTTTCTACAATAATAGCAGCTATGAACTGCTTCGGCTTCCTTCTGCAGGCCAAAGCCATTGTTTTAATGCACTGAAATTGACATTTTATAGCATAAAAATGTCTTTAACGTGGTGCTAATGAGAATCCTATTCAGGAGAACGAACATCCATAAACTAGGGCACTTCCAGGGGATGTACTCGGAGGAGCCAGAGATGGTATAAAAAGTTGGATAAACCCTCCATGATGTCGCTCAGTGTGAACCCACTAAAATAGAACTTATAAAGCCCTTTTTTTTTTTTTTGTCAACATCTTCACCAAATTTTTTAACAACTCGTAAAAATTGTACATTTTCAACAGGCAATGAGTGAATCCTTTTACCTGCCAAACCAATCTGAACCCTCTCCAAAGCTTTCTTAAGGTGGATTAAATGAGAAACACATTCAGGAGAACTAACAACCACAAAACAAGGGAACAGCACTTAGAGCGGCATATCACATAAAACTGGATAAACCCTCCGTGACATTAAATTATCTGAAGCTCAGCGTGAAGCTACAGATAGCTACGATGACAACCTACGATTTGGCTCATGAAGCTCATTTTACAGACTCTGATTAACACGTATCTCATCCAGAACGGCACCTGATTGGTAAAAGTTGTGCGTTGAACCTCTTCAAAATGACTAAATGTGTTTAATGAAAACCACATTGAGCAGAATCAACGTGCATTTTTACAAATATGAAGCAACCAAAAGCTTTCGCATTTTAATACAACGCCACACGTTTTCTTTGCAGCACATAAATTAGTTTGTTTCGGTGACGGATGCTGCTGCTACCGTCCTTGGCTGTTCCTGTAAACGCAGCGTAAACCAGCAGGGGGCGCTGCAGCGACAGTCCGATCGGACGGCGGCGGCGTACCTTTGAAGTAGGCGGCGCTGACGGTGTTGACGCCCGAGTTTCGTGGGAGGGGCTTGGACAGGAGGCGCTGCACCTTCCCGCCCGTCTCCTGAGACACCCAATCGTTGATCTCCTTCACGTCTTTGGCTCCGCCCAGCAGCGCTTTGGGCCGGACGCCGTACTGCTGCTCCACCAGCGCGAAGAAGTCCTGCTTCAGACGGAGACCTGGCGGCAGAAGATATTCGAAACTGTTGAGCTGAAAACATCACAAACCAGCTTTTGTATATGTTCATGTAGACAGGATCCAAAGCAAACATTAAATACGGTGTGTTTAGTTATGTTGTTGTTTTGTTTTTTGTTTAAAAATAAAAGTAAAGACAAAACCATAAAAATACAAAATCAAGTTGCTTTTTTAACAGATTTTACGTCCAAAATTTAGTCTCTAGTTTCAGATTTTGAGGTCTGGAGTGAAGAACAAACCTCAAAGAACCGCTGATGGCATCTGGTTCTGTTTTGTTAAAGGTCAGATCATATCTACTACAAGTGTTTTCCGTATTCATTCAGATTAAATCAGCAAAATAATCATTATTCTTACAGACACTTGCATCTCTTTCAAACGTATATTAAGGATTGCAAACTGGTTCTAATGGAAACAATCTTTTCAGGTTTTCTCTCTGCTGCTAAATTACAAAAACAGTTTTTTAAAATGCTAATTTGTTCTTTGACAGCGTTTGACGGGGCTGCTGCTGTTTTTACTGGATTTAAATCAGTAGAAGAACAAACCATCACTTCACTGATATTTGACAGAAACAACGTACGCATATTGAGGATTGTAAAATAGTAAAGATGGTCCATTTTTAACAGCGATTTTACAGATTTTTCCTGTTTTTGTCAATTACAGATAATATCTGGTAAAATCACAGAAAATAGTTCCAGTTTACGTGTTAATCCTAAAAATCACACCGTTTTACTGTATTTAAATCAGCTGAACACATCTCTATTTTACTTTTTTTTAAATCATTTTTGATGTCAAAGTATTGCAAAGTTTTTTTAAACAAATTTTTTGTGGCACCTTTGTTATGGATTTCTGTTCCTACACTGTTCTGTCACAGCATAACTTCATTTTTAAAAATCCTTCTATCTTCTCTTTTTGTTGACAGCAGACGTTCGACACTTCAGAGTGTCTTGAGGCAGAATTAAATTATTAAAACATTCAGCTTCCGTCCAGTTTCCCGTCCAGGTGGACTCACGTCGGGCCAGGTAGAGCCGGGCGGCGCTGCTCAGGCCTTTCCCAGGCGCCCGGACGGCGGCCAGCAGCTCCTTGAGGGTGTTGTGGAGCTGCTGGTCCTGCAGGTTGTGATACCTCAGAGCCCGATGAAGCTGCCGCTCAGCCGCCTCCGAGCCTCCTGAAGGATACAGAAGATCTGATGTAAGAGGGGCAGTCACATGTTCCCGGAAAAATACAAACCTGCCTCGTCACAAAAAGACAAAACAAGCAGAAGGAGATGAAAAGTGTTTTTTATCGTTCAGGCGCTAAATGTTTATTTTGTTTGTAATGTTGGAAACTTTAAATGAAGCTCAGTGGAGGTTCGTTTGGACATCGGAGCAACAGACTAAACTTCCTGATTGGACCTCGTAGGCAAAGTGAAACCAACTCTGAATGCAGTTTGTGTTTACCCATGGACAGCTGAGTCAGCGCCGCCGACACGCTGATCGGAGACAGGAAGATGTTGGTTCCGGTTTCGCGACTCGCCAAAGCTCGGAAGAGGTTGTAGCCGAAGTCCGAGGTGGCGGCGGCCATCTTTGTCGTTGGCGTCGTGAAGAGCTCCACATGTTCCTCCTCGCCTCCCGTCTCCTCGGCGACCGCGTCCGGCTGTAACGGACCAATGAGGCGACAGACAACAGACCTGCTGTGAGACACTGGACGATCAAACCGGAGCCCGATGGAGCAGAACGAGGTTGGAGTTTAGTCAACAGTCTGTGAGCCTCTGAACCGAAAACACCACCAGCAGGTGTTTTGGACAATTAATTGCATTTGGACCAATTTTGAGTAATTTTGGACAATTATTGAGACATTTCATGTTAATGTTTTGGTCATTTTGGCCTTTTTTGTGTTATTTTGGGTGATTTATGAAACATTTTGGATGAAATAATCTTTGTTTTGACAAATTTTGAGTAATGTTGTACAGGACTGAGAGGAAAATCCAACCTGCTGGATCAATAAATAAATGCAGCACGGATCAGAACCAGAGAACAGAGGAGCCAGTTGTTGGAAACACATTCAGCTGATGGTGGAACATCTTTCTACATCTGAGGAGCAGAACTAGAACCAGTTCTCTCGTCTGTGTTGCCTCCATTTTATACTTAAAAACGCGTCGATTCCAGGATTTTTCAAAGACTTAAACTCTCCAGTGTTGGAAAGTTCTGGTGGTTGTGGTTCCACACTGAATGAAAACGCGACAGGAGGGTGGAAATGAAGCCGACGTGTACAGACAGGTGAGCTCACCTGAGCCTGGCAGACGCTCAGGAAGAATCCAAACACCAGCAGGAAAGTTGTTCGCTTCATCCTGAAACACAAACACAAGACGAAGCTGTTACCTGTTGGGTTAGGTGGAACATGTTCCATACCTGCTCAGTCCTGTTATTAATTCATTCCTGCATCTCCACCAGCTGCACAGTTTGCTCTCAACCTTTGGTTCATTTTAAACACACTCCTTTACGCACATCTGCAGCTGCACACAGACGACCTATTTTACTTTCTTTTTGCTGTTATTTTTGTCTGAATACCACAACGAAACACATAAAACTGTCCAAAACTACTCAGAATCTTGTCTGAGATTATTCAAAACTACCTGAAATCTGTTTGAAATGACTCGAAATGCAACCGAAATAACAGAAGCTTGTCCAGAACGATTTAAAACGTGTCTGAAACAACCCAACTTTACCGAAAACGACAAAATCTTGTGCAAAGTGATTCAAAGCCACTTGAAATCTGTGTAAAACAACTCAAAAGTTGTACAAAATGTATCAAAAACTACAAGAAATAGGTCCAAAATAATGAAATATTATCAAAAACAATCAAAATTAGTCAAAACCTTTTCAAAACTTAATCAAACTTTCCACAAATCTACATAAAACAGCTTAAAAACTTTTCTAAAATAAGAAAAATCTTCATTTTACTTCTGCTTTCTGAGCATCAAACACGAAAATCTGCATTCTGGGAATTTTTTGCACAATTTTGCTCATTTTCTGCAAAACTTTGGTCATTTTTTCCCATAGTTTCTTCCTTTACTGCCCTTAATTCACTTTCTGCAGCAGTTTACGGCGTAAATCCACCAGACTCTGACCATGACGGCGTTCCTGTGGATCCGCAGCTCGTTCAGCGTCCGTCTGAGCTCAGGATTCGTTTTATTTTGATTATAAGACAAAGACAAACTTTTTCTTCTTCTTCTTGCCTGAAACCTGCAGCACACAAAGCTGCTTTTGTTCTGCACATCTGGACCTGGTCGTCGCGGTTACGCAAAAAAACAAAAGTCTGTCATTTAAAACCGCAGACCACACACACACACACACACACACACACATACACACACACACACACACACACACACACACACCACAAGACGCCTGATGGGAAATCCAGACGTTAAAACTTCTCGCCGAGATTCTTTTCTCGCCGCAGTCGGGACAAAACGAGTTTTTAGGAGAGTTTAACCCGTTAAATTATTTTATATTTCACTGTTTTAATGTAATTATGTTGAACAATTTAATGTGATTTAACAGTTTTTGTTGTAATTACAGAAAACATCCAGTGAAACGACAGAATTCATTTACACGTTGAATTGTATTTAAATCAGCAAACAAATCCTTATTTAAGATGTTTTCTCTTATTTTCAGAGTTTTTGAGTCTCATTCGAGGCGTCTTTACGTTAATTTATGACACATTAAGAATGAGATGTTTTGTAAGTTTAGATTTTCATGTTTGCTTCAAGAAATTCGATTTTACTGCTTGAAGGGAGAAACGTCCTAAAGTTAACGCGACGCTTTCTGCTTCTTGTGTTGCAGCTTTTTGTTGATTCCTGTCAGAACATCCAGCAAACAATGATTTTAATCCAGTAATTTTCAATCTGTGGCTGTGAACAGCTGAGAAAATCCCATTTTTAAAAAAAACAAAAACTCAATTTTTGGGGCATAAACTTTTTTTTTTTAAAACAATTTACAGGAATTTTTTTTTACATTTACTTCAATTTATTGATTAGATTAAATTGTTAAATTCAAGTTTAATGATGTAAATATATTTATAAAGTGTGTATATCTTAAATTAAAATGTAAAAAATAGTGTAAACAAACAAAAAACTAACTAAGAAAAAAAAACATCTCATAAAAATGCAGCATTTCTCCAGAATTACAAAACATTTTCTGGCTTTAACATGAGATCAAGAATAATTTTATTGATTTATTGATTTGTTTTTACCCATAAATCTCCTCCTGAAGCATTAAAAAGCCAAAAATACTTGATCTCAGTTGAGAAAACATGTAAACTACTGACTGAGCTGTTTGTTTGTTTGTTTGTTTGTTTGTTTGTTTGTTTGTTTGTTTGTTTGTTTGTTTGCTGCTGGGACACAACGTGTGATTGAACGACGTTTTTCCAGCGTTTTCTGAGCTGATCGTCGTTTGGATTCAGATCAATCTTCTGACTTTTGGTTTTCAGGCTGATGTTCGGTTTTCTTGCTCAAACTTGTTTTTCTCTTCATCAGCGATTTTTCAAAGTTCAGCTCCGATTATTCTGCAGAGAAATGTTGATCTTGGCTCCAAAGGTTTTACGACCTGAAATAACCTTCAGAGCAAAAGGATTTAAAGTCAGAACGCTTCATCGGCTCTGGAAGAAACACGGATCCTGTAAAAACCACAAAGAACCGACGACAGAACCTCAAAAAAACTCAACAAAAAACTACAACAATGAAACACTGGAGCGTCCAGAACAACAGCACATATCTCGATTATTACTGTTTTTATTGTTTTCTACTGATTTAAATTAACTAAAAACTGATGTAAACATTATTTCTATGACCATCAACATGTAAATTAAAACCTTTTACTGGATTTTATCTGTAAAATAACCATTTACAAAATTATTTGAGTTGAAGATTTTTTGCTTACAAATTAGAGCAAATATCTGAAATATTTTTGATTTTTATCTGATTTATGATGTTTTTAAATCTGATGACACAGACGTGATGTGAACAATGTCGACAGTTTGTTTTGGTTTTTATACTTAACATGTAAATTCATATTTTCCTGTAATTTAATGAAACAAGTCAAATCTTTAACAAAAACTGTACAAACTGTATTTAACATTTTAAATCATTATGATACAAAACCTGCCTTTTAAATAAATGCAAATATCTGACAAATAATTTGTTGATTTGTGGATTTAAAACCAGTCAGACTGATTAAGAATAAAACACCATAACTCATGAATATATCTGTAAAATGATCACATTAATCAGATTTTAAGGAGAATTACAGATAAAATGTCGACTTTTTGTCACATTCACTCCGTCCAGCTTTGATTCTATTGAGCCACAACGTGATGAAGAAGTTTGTTTGATTTGTGTTGAAACCGTCTGAACTCTGCTGCTGTTGCATCAACTCTGGTTTTATTGGCACAGAACTGAGATGGAAACTCTGAGCAAGAGCAAAACTGATCTCAAGTCTGGAGACACAACAACAACAACAACAACAACAACAACAACAACAACAGTAAACTGTTGAAAGCTGCAGAACGAAGCTGCGACTTCACTGAAGCTGAACATCGAAGCTTCTCCGCAGCTTTCAGCTTTTTGATGGATCAAGTTTCTGGGTCACAGCTGCAGCAGAACCGCGCCTCTGCGCCGATAAACTGATTTTTAATTTAAAAAAATTTTTTAACGGAAACTCGAGAGTTTAAAGTTGTGCGTAAAAGCGCAAAATGCGCCAAACAGCGCGCAGATAGCGTCACTCACCTCTGCGCTCCGGGACGGTCCACGTCGCTCTGCTGCTGCTGCTGCTGGAGGAGATTATGAAGATGATGATGAATCTTCCTCCCGCTGACGCCTCCGAGCTCTGCGCGCTCCCTGGACCTCACGGCGGCGCGCCTTCAGTCACCGCCAGCAGAGGGCCGCGGGGACGCGCAGGACTGACAGAAGTGGATCCTGTGACACGCTGTGGTTCACAACGATAACAANCAAATACATAATAATAATAATAATAATAATAATAATAATAATAATAATAATAATAATAATAATAATAATAATTGTATTGCACTCTACATGTTCTCAGAGTGTTACAGGAGAAGACAGAAGACTATTAAAACAGTTCACAAACACAGTCAGGATAAAATAGGTTAAAAAACAAAACACAATTTAGATCTAAGAAAGTCTAAATAAAGAAAAGTATAAAAGCACTGCGTGAATAAAAGTGGCGTGAAAAGAGACAAACACTTCCCTAAACCCAGTGACAAACTAAACGTCCCGCGGCGCGGGATTGACGCAGGAAGCGGCCGCCATCCAGGCACCGCTCCTGGAGAAGGTGGAGGAACTCCGGTAGTGAACATGACAGGGTCACCGCCTCCCTCCCTCATACAGGTTTTTTCTAGAAAAACCCCTGATAATATTCAGTGCATCTGTTCTGGTGGGTACTTTAGTTTTATAATAACCCAGTTTGTTTTGGTTTAATTAACTCTAATTGTACTTCCTGTCTATTTGTTGTATTACATTCATACAGACAATTATTTTATTTTTTATTTGTTGTGTACAAGGACATATTTAATGGAAATAAACACGTCCTTATTAATAATATATCTAAGAAAAATAAATAAATCAATACTGACCTCTGACCGCTCCGCCGGAAGAGCAGCTTCTTCTCCGGCTTCAGGCCGCTGCCGCCGGCGCTGCTTCCGGTAAGTTCGGTTTGTAGTTTAAATGCGAGTTTTGCGCTTGTTTGTCGTAGTTTACAACACGGAGTGCGCATGCGTGGTTGTGTTTATTAGCGCCTCACATCCGCTAGGCGTTAGCCGCTATCTGTTAGCCGCTAACCGCTATGTGTTAGCCGCTAGCTGCTCGCTGTTAGCCGCCAGCTGGACACAGTGTTGCTGCTTGGTAGCAATAAAATATGAGCAGAATTCCATTTCAGACGCCTTATTTCTGTATATTTTAGTTTAAAGTTAAATATCTAATAACTATTATTAGTTTTATTGTAAGTCGCTGCAACATCGGTTAGTTTACAAAAACAGATTGTATTTTAACACATAATATTAGCTTTCTATTTCCAGATAAAATAAGATTAGATAAAACTCGTGCAGAGAATAAAAGACTCGTGATGCAGTTTGGGTTTTTTTGGAAAAACATTTTTTTTGTATGAAACAGTCTGAATTTTCTGTGTGTGAGTACGATCGTGTGGAAATACACTGGCAGTAACTGAACGCTGTATTTTTACATTTTCATCACATCAGAAATCAACATGATAACAAAAAACATCACTCTGCTGGAGTTTTTAGTATTTCAAATTAGCTCGTCCGTATAAAACGCTGATCACCAGAATCGCAGTGCATTAGCATTTTTTCTGTTAAGCTACTTTTGAGCAGCATGTCTGCTGCATGTCAGCTTTAAAGGAAACAGCTGGGGGATTTTCTGTTGTGTCGAGACAAGAGCGAGTTAATCAGTGACTCTACAGGTGCCGCCAGGTGGGATTTACTTTCCAGTGGTCATGCTAAGCTAAGCTAACTCACTGTTTGCTGCATCTGTGTTGTAGTTACACTAATTCGCACTGTTCCTTTATTGAGACGCCGTCAGAGCTCAGGCGGCCACAGCGTTGTCTGGTTTGAGGCAGCTATCGTCTCCCTGTGTCTTCTCCTGTCCGTCGCTGCCCTGCAGTTCATTTACATGTTTTTCACCAGAGGGGGCGCTGCAGGGCCGCCGGCTGCTGCACAGTCCGCCGTCCGTGTGTCTTTTCCTGACACTGTTCGTCGCCGGCTGGTCGCTCATGGTGCCGTTGCCGTGGGGATCGTCGCGGAGCATGGGCTCGTGGTCGGGGGCGGGGTTTGTGACGACGCCCATGAAGAGGGGGGCCAGCGAGGCGTCGTCCACCAGGGCGAAGAGGAAGGGCGAGTTGACAGAGAACAGGGAGACGGAGCGCATGGAGGTGACAGCGGTGGTGGCCGACGCCTCCACGCCTTCCTCGCTGAGCTCCACGGTGCTGGCGTGGCGGACGCCCGTCACCCTGAGGGGGAGGTCGGAGATCCCTGAGAGGTCCGGAGCCGAAAACAGAGAACTGAGGCCTGGGACAACCAGAGACAGAGAACAAGGTCATATATCGAAACAACATCGTCGTCTCCGGTAACAGACTGGTGGCGCTTCACCAGGACAGCTCGGACCTGCCGAGGCCCGGTCTCCACCAGAACCCCTCTGTGGTACCAGGACATTACCTGCAGATCCTGAGGTGGAGATCAGACATGATCCACCCTTCCCCTGTCAGTATCTACTCACCAGCGCTGAATGGAGCTCGCAGAGATGCTCCAACTGGTCGTCCTTGTCAACAGTACTTGGGTCTGCACTAGGGATCGACCAGTGTGGTGTTATCATGGACGATACCAATTATTGGTGATTAGGAAAGACCGATTTTTAGATCCAGTATACGTGTGATAGAACCTGTCATTCATAGCTAGTTTAGTTCAATAACAAGGATTACTATGACTGAAAAGAAACAGGAGCGAGTGCTGTTGGGACGTTCCCCTTTCTTTACTGATCGATTGATTGACTGTTTCCTGAGGTTCCGTCCACTGGTTGTTTTTGTTTTCTTAATCTTTCTCTATTTTTTTTTTGTTCACTTCATTGCCCACGAAGGTCCACTTTATGCCGCCTAACTTAGCTGCTAGCCGTTAGCTGTGAGCCACCTTGGCATTCTTCCCCCTTCTGCAGTCCATGTGTTACCGTTTTCCCTTTCTACGGAGAACAACAACAACCTCTTAGCAGCAACCTGCACACTGATGAGTTTTTCTGAAGCTTTCAGTCATTCAGGAAGTCAGACCTGCTTGATTCTTTGGCTGAATAGTTGTAAAGATCTCCGAAGAACATGTTTACAACATCTAACTGGGATGTTCTTGAGAGTTCGCCTGCAATGTGCTAGCAATTAAAGACAAATAGCATGAAAAGCTTAGTTTACATTTAGTTTGTCTAGTGCTCGAATCAGATTTCACAGCGTTAAAACAACTTGTAGAATATTAAAAGTCCTGTCTTGATTTTCGATGTTAATCTGTTTCGTCCGGCGGAGTTGATTTGACTCATCTCTTTATTCTGTCTTCTATCAGTTCCACCTCACACAAGCTTCTCTGATATCGGTTTAAAAAACGTTCTGCAAGAGCCACACACTGCTGACTAATGTGGTTTAATTGAGTCCAGTGAGCTCCTGCAGAGCTGAAGAACGGTCAGGCTTCACTTGTTGGCCACCAAATATCCAATCAAGCTTGTTTCTTTTTCCACGTTTTCTTTAGTGGGTGTTCAATAGAATTATTCTTCTTAAAGCTGTTTAATACCAAGATGATTGTGATTGTTTTAACGAAACCACAATCCTCTGTCGCAGAATGATAACATAAAGCAGCAACACTATACAACGTTACTCAACATGACTACTGCATGTTGCCCTTCAGCCGTTTGGTAGAGATACTACCTCCAGAGTGTTCTCACCCATGCTGCTCAGCGCCTCCTGCAGCTCCTGGCGGTACTGCAGCTTCACCTTGGGTAAGTTGACCTGCATGGTCTTCTCCTGAGGTAGACGTCCGTAGAGGTCGGAGATGTTCAGTTTGGGGAGCACCGACGACACGTTTCCCCGAGGCAGGACGATCAAGAAGCTGGTGTTGCCCTTGAATGGAAAACTGGCAACCTGGACGAAAAAGAAGGATTCTGGTCTCAGTAGCTGCCGTACAAAGAGAACTAGCGTCTGCTGCTTGATCAAAGCTCAGAGCCCTTCAATCTGTGATGGACGTCAGCTTCCCTGATGGATGTCGGTGTTACCTGTGCTTCCAGCTCGGGGTCATCCAGCAGGCGTAGAGGATACTGGGCAGATTTCATCATGTCCACCGGTACCGAGTTCTGGTTGTCCAGGTAAAACATTCCCTTAGAGGTGACTGATGGGTCAAATTGTGTCTGCCACTCACCTGACAAACAGCGGAAAGTGAAAAGGAATCATTGGTAGGACTGTAGCCAACCTGAGACAGTCTTGGTCACCTGAAATGGTACCGACTCTTTAACCAAACCGATATCAGGTGCCTAAACTAATACAGTTGCATGTGTTAGTGACTAGTTCCGCAGTTGGCGCAGAGAGCCATGGGAATGTTCAAATCCAAATAGATAAGTAGTTTTGGGATGGTTACTTCGGTTGTGTTGTGTTGTTGTGGATGGTGAGGAGAATCTGGACTAGCATTTCTGTGGAGGTTAATGCCGTCCAACTTGTGTTATTACGCTACTGACTAAGACTAAGTTAACGATGGCATCACGGTAGCCATGTGAAATGGAAATACATCCACTGTGCTTCATATATGTTAATTATTCATTGATTATTGATTGATAACTACCAACTATTGATTAAGAAAACTCCAAAAGTGTGACTCTAAATTTCCACTTATTCCTAAACTTTGTGTTATTTGGGGAAAAAAATGTAAGCATCAAGTTCTGAAAAGGTGTGTTTTGAGGTGAGAAAAAAAATGGTGCGTTTAAAAAGCTACAGGAGAGTCAAGGAGGTAAAGCCTGCTGGAACATCCACCGTTTGCTGCTGCTGGTGTTCTCTCTGGTGGAGTCTACGTGGATTGATAGAGTCCAGTCTGGCAGGTTCAGATTTGGAAAGACGTGTTGTGTCATCTCTGTGACTGTAAACCAGCGTACTGAGGGGTTTCCATTGGATCAGCTCACCTTTAAAGTACACGGCGTTCATGAGCATCAGTACCACGTCGTGTGGAATGCTCTCCAGGAAGTTGGCGATGTGTCCATTGGTGACGTTCTCCACCCACTGGTTGACTTCCTCCACAGAGACCAGAGGAACCGGCTGGGATTTGTACCTGGAAAAATCACATCGACAAAAACAAATCTATTAGATCGTACAGCTTTATTCCTTTTCTTGGTGCAACTGTAAACTCACATTTATCTTAATAACATGCACTCCCTTATTTTATGGGATGTCCCAGTTCAGTTGTTTTTGCCCCTTGATCTGATCCAAGTCTTTTAATATTTAGTATCCACTGATTCAGAGTCCCAATCTGATACCATTTTCTGAGATAAACACGCTTCAAGTACATTAAAGTTATTAAAATCAATCCACTGTATATGCTTGACAATTGCATGACTCTGCAATGCACTAAGAAACAAGGTGCATTTCTGCATCCAAGCTGATCTTTAATGTTACATAAGTGGACTTTGGTGTAAAGGACATTGTCTGAAATGTCATGTTAGCACGTAGAGCGTACCAACTGAGGCTCCACCAGCTCCACAAGACGTAGAAAACCTGTATTCTCTACATGCATTTTAGAAATGTAGTGTAGATCAGTGTAGTACCTGGTTGTTCCACCAGGTGGAGCCTATTACAGTTTAATACTGCAGAGGAGGCGTCATTCAGACTACAGGCAGTTCATGTTGGCAAGCAGAGGGAACTGTGAGGTTTAGCTAACAACGG